TGTAGTTTACACTCGATTTTAGCCAAAAGGCAAGAAGCCTTTTGTATGAATGAATGAGGGACATAGTTTGGTTAATAGTATTGTACCATATCTATTTCCTGGTTTGTAGAATGAATTATGGTTATTTACAATGTTTCATTGGGAAAGATGAATGAAAAATACACAGAGCTCTCTACTATGTTTGGTAACTTCTTGAGATTCTTTCCTTTTAAGATTTATTTATTTGAGAGAAGAAAGAGAGAGAGCATGAGTTGGGGGAGAGGCAGAGGGAGAGGGAGAAGCAGAATCCCCCCTGAGCAGGAAGCCTGGCGTGGGGCTCGATCCCAGGACCCTGAGGTCATGACCAGAGCTGAAGGCAGATGCTTAACTGACTGAGCCACCTAGGCGCCCCTCTAAGTGCAGATTTGTTGATGGCATTACTGTTGCCTAGCAATGTCCTTATTCCACTTTATTCCTGAAGAATGTTTTCCTCTGGATATGGAATTCTGTGCTGGCAGTGCTCTACTTCCAGCGTATTAAAGATTTCATCCCGGCGATTTCTTGTTTCTGTCATTCTGATTGAGGATTCAGCTGCCAGTCAGACACTCATTTACAACTATTATGTTTGTTGTCTTCTGGTTACTTTTAACATTTTATCACTGTCTTGGACTCTCTGAAATTTCACTGCAATATTGGATTTGAAATTTTGTTTTGCTTGGGATTTTTTCAAGCTTCTTGAAACTCTGAGTTGATGATTTCCATTGGTACTGAAAAGTTCTCAGCCCTAAAATTCACACAATGGAATATGACATAGAAAAAGACCTGAGGCTTCCTACAAGAACATGAACAATTCCTAGGATGTGTACCGTTTGATTCCATTTATATCAATATTCAAAAACAAAAATATAGTGTGGTGGGCGCCCGGGTGGCTCAGTCGGTTAAGTGTCTGCCTTTAGCTCAAGTTATGATCCCAGGGTCCTGGGATGGAGTCCTGCATTGGGCTCCCTGCTCAGTGGGGAGCCTGCTTCTCCCTCTCCCTCTGTCCCCCTGCTCGTGCTCTCCCTCTCAAATAAATAAATAAAATCTTAAAAAAATATTTAGTGTGATAAAACTATAAAACCAAACAATGGTTAAGTTCCATAAGAGAAAGGATGTTTCCCACTAGATGAGGAAAAAGGAGAATGTAGTTAGGAAAGAGCCCTCGGTGTGGGGAGTTTTCTGTGGTTTTGGCAATATTCGATTTCATAACCTGGTTCATGGTCAATGATTTAAGATATGCACTTATGTTTTTGACAGTTTTTGGTACGTGTATTATTTTTCATCAGTATAAAATATAAACTCTACACACATACACACTCTCACTCGTTCTCTCTCTCTCACACACACACACACACACAGGAAATAAGGGGGAAATCTTTGGCCAACCAGTCAGGAACAGTCTCTGAACCCAGAGAGATTATTTTTGTAATCTTAAGGACTCATTTAAATAGTATGTCGCAAACAAAGCAATACAGAGAGCTTTGTGTCACCATGGGAGTGCCTGAGGTTTTGCAAAAAGGTCTCTAAGCATGGCCTCTGTGTTCTGGTGACTTTCCCATGGAAAGCACACAAGAGGATTCCCTAATTTCTCCTTGGCTGAGGTCACCCTTTGAGTGAGTTCTCCCGGTGAAAGATAGGTTTGTTGAAACAGCGTATTGAAAGTAGAGGGTTTTTTTTGTTTTTTTTTTTAAAGCTGTAAACCATAAGAGGAAAAATGGGTAGATGAGTGGTTATGTCTGCTCCCTTGGGTCCTAGCCTTGCCTTTTTAGTCATGTCAATGTCCACACTCTCTTTTCCATCATAGGAGGGAATCATCTAGGGAACTGTGGACATATTGAACAATTCTGAGAGTCCCAGGAAATCCTTGGGGATCATGAGTCTCATGATAGAAAAGAATACACATGTAAAGTCTCCCCAGATACACTCCTTTTATGTTCTTTCTTGGACCTGCTCATAGTGCCTGTTCCTGTTTTCACATCTCTCCATAGAGTAGAACGTTTTTGATTTCATCTCGTCTCAGTTACCCAAGGCTGTGCTGGTCACTGGCCTGAAGGAAAAGAGACAGGCTGTTCTGATCGGACCATTTTCCCAAACGCTGATTTAGAAGAAACTGTCCTGTCCCTGCTAGATCACTGGAACAACTCCTGTGGGTGCTGGGAAGAGCCCAGGACCCTCAGGCCATTGGTGCTACGCCAGAACAGTAATTGGAATTCTTCATTTTGTTGAGACGCCTCTGTGTGGGATCTGCCTCTGTGGAGGTCTCATTCCTTAGATTCTGGCGGTATTCACCTGCGGTCCCATGAACCTCTTCAAAAAGGCCATTATATTGAGTGCCTAGGTGGCTCAGTTGGTTAAGCAACTGCCTTAGGCTCAGGTCATGATCCTGGAGTCCCAGGATCGAGTCCTAGGCTCCCTGGGCTCGCAGCTCCACAGGGAGTCTGCTTCTCCCTCTGACCTTTTCCCCTCTCATGCTCTCTCTCTCACTCTCTCTCTCTCTAATAAATAAGTGAAATCTTTAAAAAAATAAAATAAATTTTAAAAAGTCATTATGTGAAAATATCTTAATTACCAGTGATTTTCTGGATATTGTGGCTGTATTTGCTGTGCAGAGTAGATCCATTTCTTTTAAAAATAGTGGTAACTTGGGGGACCTGGGTGGCTCAGTGGGTTAAGCGTCAGACTCTTGATTTCTGCCTAGATTGTGATCTCAGGGTCCTGGGGTGGAACCCCGTGTCAGGCTCTGCACTCAGTGGTGGGGGGGTCTGCTTGGAGATTCTCTCTCTCCCTCTGCCCCTCCCCCTCCTCATGCACGCACGTGCTCGCTCTCTCTCTATATATAAACAAATCTTAAAATCTTAATCTTAAAAAAAATAAAAATAATGATGCCTTAGAATTGGAAGGTGAGTTTCCATTCAAAAAACATCATTTTGTTTTTTCTGACTTACATGAAAACATTGGAGAGGCAAACTAAAAATGCTAGTCCATAATCAAAACAGCTTCTAACCAGACACATAAAGACACAATTAGGCACCTACCTCGTTGCTCTCAGAGTTGAGTGGTTGGGCTACTCTTCTGGACTAACAGGTGGGCCCCCAGAAGTCTGTGATGGTTAGAAGGGAGAGCGTCATGAGCAAGGGATTGTGACAGACTTACATAAACCTTAGGGCAATCGGCAAAAGGGATTCATTCCTGAATACTGTTAAGTCGCAGGTCTGAAATATACGACATAATATGAATTATGTGGGCTGCTTTAAGAGAATCAGAAAAGAACTAGGGGCACTGAGAAAAGGAAAGAGGGGGCCCAGTAAGAAAATCAGGTATCATGGGCTATTCATGCTTGGAAGGATGATTTTGAGGAGACTTTCGGAGATAAGTAAGTCAATAAAATAGGGTTTGGCTGTAAGCTAAGAGTCCAGGTGGATCACGAAGGCTGGGAGAGGAAAATTCTGCTTGAGGAGAAGTGGTAGAACTGTAGCACAGGTGTGTAATCAGGAGAAGAGACGGTTTCTGATGAGGCGGAGAAGAAAGCATTTCCTCCTTTCTCATGGGCTGCCATTAGCCAAACAATGAAATATGGAATTCCTAGTAGGTAAAGAAGGGAGAGCTCAAAAGGTCAGAGAAAGGAATGTAAAGACGCAAAAGATGCTGAATTCCAGAGCAATGGGAGGAAGGAAAGGGAAAGATCTGTTCGTAAATATGCAGAACATAAGAATCAGTGATGTCGTGTGTGTGTGTGTGTGTGTGTGTGTGTGTGTGTGTGTGTGTGTGTAAGGAACACATAAATACTTAATGGTCTTATTTCAAAGCTTCATCAGGGTTCCAGGTGCCCCGGGGAAGCGGTTAACTAGTTACACTAATAACCTCCAATATGTCATGGGGAAAATCTCCACACACACACACACACACACACACACACACACACACACGTCACTCTTACTGTCCCCTGTGTCTTCAGCCAACATCTGGCTTAGAACACGACCCCACTTTGCTTCTGTAGCCCTAAATTGTGCCCCTAAATTGCAGTCTGCTTCCTTCTGGTTGCTGTTTCTCTCCCTCTATTGTTTTGCCCTAAGCACGGGCACAGATTTTCCCCTCAATTCCTTGCGATGACAGCAGAGACGAGGCTCCCACCTGTTAAAGGTGTAAGAATAACTGAAGGAAACTACCAGAAAACTTAGAACGAGATACTAGGTGTGGCTGTTCCTAGAATCCACCGGCTCAATCCCCTCCATGGGACTTGTACCTCCAGCCACCTCTCTGACCGAATACCTAGTCCTTCTCAGAGTTAGGGTAACCCCCGCCCCCCAGTACCTGGCCTGACACCAAGTGGGAAGGACCAGCTTCCCTGGCTCCAGGAGGAATCTCAGACCTCTGTTTCCTAACAAAACCTCTCTCAGTCCCTGGGAAACTTTAGGATGGGAAGCAGATTCCTCCTCAGCTCATGGCCAGGGTCTGCTTTGTTCCAGGGTGACTGAGTGTGAAACTGGGAATCCTCTGTCAGTGTCCCAGAGTCTAACCTTCCACCTCTCTTCTCCACTCCTCATAACTATGCCTTTTTAAGGGTCTATGCTCAATGCCCTTTCTGCATTTCCATGATTTGCACTCATAGACTCTTTTCAGCTTTAATGAGCACCTTGGCATAGGTGACTCTGAATTGTACCCACCTAGCTCTGACTTACCCTCATATTTTCCCACAGTGTGGTATGAAAAAAGGAAAAAAACCCACAGAACATGGCATCAACCATCTTGGGTGGTCAGACTGGAATAAATCAGGTCCAGGGAACTTTCGGGTCCCTTTTCTCCCCAGTTCTCCAAAAAGAGAAACTACAGAGTCACTGGTTTCCCTAGGGGTGGAGTACGCCTTTCCAGCACCTTCCGCAGTGTCCCCACCCCTAAGCCCTCCGGGGGAAGCCCAGCCTGGCAGAGGCATAAATATGCACCTGGCAGCTTCCTGCCCTAACCCACTCCTTTCTCTTTTCAAAATGGACAAGCCCCTGCTTTTGGGACTCTCCATCCTGCTTGGCTGCATTAGGAGTGAGTCTCTGGGGTTGGCGGTTGGTGCGGTGTGTCCAGGGTAGGGAACAGGTTAGAGCTCCCATGACGGAGGGAGGGGTTCTGAAGGGAGCCACGTGATCGCTCTAATACCATGCCTTTCACCTCCAATGCATCACATCCCTGGGACCTTCACCAGAGGCTTCATCTCCCCCTTAGAGGCGGAAATAGGGGGATTAGAAAGGAATTGAGAAGATTTTCATGGAAGCTCTGAGGCTCTGAGGCCTCATTTGTAAAATGAGGTCTGCAGAGCACGTATCTTTTCCCCCAACAGTGCTGTCTGGGTCACTGCGTGACAAGGAGCACACAAGTGAGTAGAAACAGATCATGGTGTGGGAGGGGGGAGATGGGAGGAGGGAGGAGAGAGGAGATGGGACAGGCAGAGCGGGCCCTGGGTGTTGAAAGGAATCTGGAGACAGACCTTGAGTTTAAGCACTCAGCAGCCTCTTACAGCAGGATGGGTTGGGCTGGGGGTTGATTTGCTATTTGACAAAACAACAGGAGCTGCAGGTGACAAGGGGGCGGGGTGAGTGTACTCAAGGGCAAGTCAAAGGGAGGGGGGGGGAGTGGATATTGACCTTCCGGGTACCAGTTGGTTAGACCTACCTGGTGGCAACTTTGTGAATTTCAGACGCTTTTCCCCTTCGTCAGCTTCCAGGCACAGGTAGCTAAGCAAGCCGCACAGGTCAATTACAAAGACCGGGGATGAGGGGGGAACGGGTGTGTTTATCTTTCTCCTGTGGCCTGTGCTCTAGGCCCCAAGAAGGTGAAGGGAAATGAAAGGAAGGAGGAGATGCAGAGATGCCCGGAGGCAGGTGCCAAGGCTTTGGAGGGACAGAAAGAGCCTAGACTGGCCCCAGGTGAAAAGCACGGGCCGACCCCAGGTATTACAAGCATCACAGGGGCCCTGTACAGGGCTAAATCTCGGACGAAATTGCAGATCGTTTTTGTTTCTCCTTGCCAGTACAGTCCAGGAAATATTTATCGAGGATGCCCATTATTCCAGTGAGTATGAAGAGGACCTGATTATCTCTGTCTTGATTTCATTCTTTTCCTTGCCCCGCCCCCTTTCTATCCCCTCCCATTTTCCCCCCAGCCCAGACTCCCGAGACTGTAAACTCCAGTCCCTCTCCTGGTGTAGCCTGTCTTTATTAAGCGGCAAATGCCCATAATTCCTGGGTCTCTGTGAAAACCTTCTGGACTCCAAGCCGACTTCAGATCGGAACGGGGAGGTGGGCTTTCTCGTGGCAGTAGGAGATCGCTTCTCACTTCTGTTCCTGGTTTCTTGGTCCGATGACAGACCTCGTTCAGTGTAGAATGTGCCACCTGCAGTTTCCAGGAGAAAGGTGTTCCAGAGGCAGAGGAGTGTGCACTGCTACAGAAGATGAGGGTTGCGTGACTGGGAGGATTTTCAAGAGTAAGTTGGGGGACGGGGGTGCGGGAAGCTGAATGGGACATAGGTACCATGGAACAAAGCAGGGACCTTATTTTGCCCCAGGCAGCCCCAGCCTTGGGATGCTTGATCTCTCTACCCCTATCACAAGCCATAATGGAAAATAGATGGAGGAGGTCCCGAGGGGTGGGGATCTGTAGATATGGAACCACTAATTCAAGAAGCCTGCATAAAGTAGGGAGACTGGGTGGGGAGGAGAGGGGAGGCACAATATGGCCAGTGGAGACCAGGCGCTTGTTGGAGAGGGGAGGGCAGCTCCTCGTCTGTCCCTGCCTGGACCTCCATGGGGTGGTTTTAAACTGTGAAGACAAAAGGACCAGTGTCAGCAACAGACACGAGCTAAATGGCCCTCTCGGTTTTCCTACAGTTCATGCTAAGCAAAACCCTGGCATTTATAACCCTGACTTAAACCAGTGTTAAGATTCTCCACTGAGACATCCAGCTTTGGAAATCCCTCCGTTACTGCTGTCATCACCTCCCCACCCCCAAGAACTTTTGCAAACTCTTCTGCCACTGCTTTCCTTCTGGGAAGTCCTCACCTGGCAACATCTTGCAGTTCTGCCTGTTTGGATAACAGAGACTTGAGCTACCCACAAGGCTGTTCTTGTCTGCTGGTACGGTCTGCAAAGAAGTTTCTTTGCAGAAGCCTTTTTGCTAACCTGTTTCTCTTTCCTCCTGCAGAAGATGGGACTCTGTGGTTAACCTTCATGGGCTGCCTGAAAAACTGTGCTAATGTGGACAAAATAAAATGGAGTGTCTACTTGGTGACGTTCAGGTGCTGCAGGGTCTCTGACTTTTGCAATGAAAATCTGTAGAGGTTGCATGTTCTCTGGGGGCTCCAACCTCTGGATGACATTATTGTCTCAGCCTCTTCCTGAGAATTTCCTGGAAAGCCACTGTTTCGGATCGCAAGCGCATGGTTCTGCCTTCTGCCTGTGTAAGAAAAAGTGCTCTTTCTTTTCTAGATTTTCCATCTTGGTCCCTGGTGGTTGTGGTGATGGAGTAGGGGGGAAACGAAACACTTTGAGAGCAAGACCAGTGTCTCCTGCAGGTTCTTACAAAACCTAGTGCTTTCACTGTGTACCAAAGCTGCTTCAGAATAAGAAGACAAGAGATGTAAGCGTCTGACTCATGATTTTTAGTTCCAGTCAAGATCTCAGTGTGTTGAGATCAAACCCAGCCTTGGGCTCTGGGTTGGGTGTGGAGCCTGCTTAAGATTTTCTCTCTCCCTCTCCCTCTGCCCAGCTCCCATCACGTGCTCGCTCTTTCTCTCCAAAAAAAAAAAAAAAAAAAAAAAAAAA